CAGAACTGTATCAAGTGGAGCCTGACTGTAGGTTTGTGAGGCCATGGAGGCAGGCTGTCCACAGTCAAATGGACTGGACCAACGGGTCTGAAAGAACTGCTAGGTGGTTCTCCTCTATACCGTGCAGACCACCTGTGGCACAACCATTACTTGGTTCTGGAAGTTAATACTACAGTATAGGGTTAGAGGACACTCAGGAGAATTGACTATACCAAATCTCAAATGGGCAGCTAGCAGTCTAAAGGACTTTTCATCTTACCAGAGTTCATCCTTGGACCTGTAAGCAATGAGTTCTGATTCATAAAAAACATATCATTCTGTAAGCAATGAGTTCTGATTCATAAAAAATATATCATTCACAACGTCAGGAAGAAATCACCACAAGGCATACTTGTCCTGGAATGAGAGCACACTGTTCACACATCAGTTCCGATGCCAAGCTGTCCTCTCTCATCTGAACCCACAGAACCCTCCACAGTAAGAGTGTAACCATGACGCCGTTTAGAAGAGCAACTGCATTCATTCAGAGTCACTTCCCAGTTATCTGAAATCTATAGGTTTTATTCTACCAAGACATAAAATATTCCCATTAAATTCTTTAAACTTCTAACCTCTAGGTAACTAACCTGAAACCTGACAAAATAAAATAAGCCTAAACAATGTTATCGGTACTCCTAGGAGCATAAATAAACTAAGGAGAACTAATCTAATCTGCAACTTCACTGAAGAGGTATGTGCCAACAGTCAGAAGAGTGACTCAGTCCCAACACGGCACTTACAAACACAAGTTCTAACGATGGCTTATGGAATACCCAAAATCCATTTTTCTAAAGCAGCACCTGACTGCTTTCATGTGTTTTCTTGTAAAAGCTAAAGGCTAGGTGAGTCTTACGCTGTATTTTTGCAAACGTTAAACATCTACGTGGAGAATAATGCTGAGAATCAACCTCTTCTTTTCTCCTAATTTAACAGAAAGCATTTTAAGCAGATTGAATGCTCTCACCTTTGTTAAAACAACGTGTTTGAAATGATATTTTGGTTCCTCATTGGCAAAGCCTCAGTTTCCAAACTTTAAACAACCAAAGAGTTCAAAGGCTCCCTTTGTGTCAACAAAATCAGTAGTCCTAGGTTAATATTCTGGCATCTTACCAGCATAATCTCTGAGAGCTGCCTGATTATTAATAAAAACCTTAGGTATTGTGCCTATGACTTGCTCTGATGCTACTTTTTCAGTGTAAAATTACAAAGAACCACTTTTTCTGGTAAAGGCAGGGCAGACAAGCAGATGGATCAGCAGGCTCAAGTCAAAGTACAAAATTAAAGGCACCCAGCCCATTTCAGCCTCTGCGCCAAGACCCACACTAGAATCTGGCTGCACTTCCAGACAACCTGATGTGCATCTCAAATACAACAGGTTTTGAATCAAATCTCTAGAATTAGTTGTGGAGCCTTAGGGCAAGGTGGGCCCCATGAGATCACCCTCCTGCCACAGGCATGCTGTAGGAGAAACTGAGCCAGCAGGCAGAGCTCACAAGCACGAGTCTGTCCCGGGGTCTCTCTGCCTTCGGGTCTTGGTTTTTCCATCCCTAAAGTAATGTCTGGAACCTCCCATGCATGACTGGGGTCCTTCCAGATCTGAAAGCCAGGGAGATTGTTCCAGCAGAGTCCTCTCCACACACCTACACAGAAGGCTGCCCCAGCTTCCTCAAGAGCACTGCAACCTCACGATCTGGCCTCGACATTTTCGTCCAGAAAAGAATTTTCCACTTAAACTATTCACCACTAGACATATTCTTAAAGTGCCCTTAAAACGTAAGTTTAGTTTACCCAAAATTAACATTTTTATACACTTCTCAAAACCACACACAACCATTTTCAACTGCTTAAATTTTTTGCCACTGTGTATGTTAATTTTTCACTTAAAAAACAAAACAAAACTAGTCAATATAAAAAATTTAAGGAAACAAATTCCAATGATCCTTAAAAAGTAATAAGCACCAACAAAGCAGAGATTTTTCAGTATTAGACTCCTTTACAAAACCCCCTCAACATAACTAGGTCAGGATTTTGTATTATTTAGTTTCTGTACACAAACTACATTTGTGGAGCAAATCAATAAAATCTAGTGGGGTTTTCTGGATCTTTTTGAGACAGGGTTTCACTACAGTTCAGGCTGCCTTGAACTCACTATATAGCCTCAAACTCACAGTGATCCTCCTGTCTTAGCCTCTCGAGTGCTGGGATTACAGGTGTGCGCCATCATGCTTGGCCTAAAGTCTAGTTTTTAAAGTAAGATGCACGCATATTTTAATACAGTACTTTCCACTGGTGTCTCAATGGTCTAAATACTCTGGAATGCAATGACACAAAAAAGTAAATGACTGGTGATTAGTTTTAGTTTCTGAAAGAAGAGAGCACCATCTTGCTCTGGGCAGTTCAGCTCTGTTTAGATCACAGAGAACAGTGTATGTGAATAGGTCTGTATTTAAGTCATTCCAGACTAGGTATGTAATACAGTTACTTCCAAGCAAATTCCAAACGTCTGCATCTTCAGAAGCAGAAATGCTGCCACACCCAGCCAGCACCCCCAACACATGGCCATTCCTTAGGAGACACCCACAAGGGAGGCAACAGTAATACGCTCTCCCGGTCCCCGTGGGTCTGAGGGCCAGGGCTCGGTGTGTGATGGGAACACTGAACTTGCCATTTCAAGCCTGGATATGTGAGTGAGCATGTTTGAGACTGAATGTGAACGTGTGTGGGCATGTGTGACTTAGGGTGTCAGCGCTGTGAGGGAGGGGTAAGCATGCGTGAGCATGCAGCGGTGAGGGGGAGAAAGTGTGTGTGTGTCCAGTTGTAATCGGGGCAGCAGTGGAGACAGAAGAGGCCAAGTCCAGAAGAGGACTCCACCCGGGGATCACAACAGCTCAGAGAACAGGTTTAGGTTTCTCTACCAAACACCACAAGCTCAGCCAACACATCCAGTTGATGAAGACGTGGGGCCTTCTGTAGATAAAACATTCCAGGTACTCAAGTGATTCTGACCCAAATGAGTGCATGTTTTGGTGTCATAGGTAAGGCCTCTGCTCAAAATCTGCACACAAAGAAAACTTTATCATGCAACCATTCAACCAAAGCTCAAAAGTTCCTAGGATCCCCTAATTTCCAGTTGGCTACCAACTCCCCCCCCATGTGCCCATGTGCATGTACACACACACATGCTCCCCACATCAGCCTTAGGGGAGTTTTCCCAGGCTATTCTGTGGGTGTCTAAAGACCTGTTTAAAAGTGAGAGGACAACAGGCCACCCTCATTTCTACCTCTGGGCCTGTTAGTCAGCTTGCAAACACCCCTTATGCCTCTAGTTTCTTGGCTGGCATCTCTCTGGCAATGTGTCACCTGCCATTATTTATCTCCTCCTTAAGTCATTTCCAGACAAGACTTCTTTTCAAACCTCAGAACGTACAAACTGTTTTGATAACCAGCCAGTTAAGAGCTGCTAATCCACCACAAGAAAAGGCAAATGGAAACTTGGACAGTAAGTTAAAACGACTCTGAGCGTGCCAGCCAGGCTTCGGGGTTCAAAAGCCAGAAGGGGGAGGGTGCAAAGAAGCGTCTTCTGCTTCTGGGGCCCACGTTAGTGTGGGACAGGTGGGCAGGAAATGTGGGCCAAGTCTTCAGAGAGAGCATTATTCACCCATCCTGGACCGACCACTACACCCTCCAGGTGCCCTGTCCCCCTCTACAGGTGTTGTGTCCATGCCCAACAGCAGGTGTAAGGCTCCAGGGCTCTGTCTTGGCTACAAAATGACAGGCTTACTGGGCTTAGATTTTGCATACGCATTTGCCTCCAGATCATTAGCAGAAAGCAGAGTCTCAGGAAAAGAAATTCAAAATTTCAGACTGTGATTTCTAAGGCAGGAGTTGGGCAGAAACACGCTTCACAGTCCAAAACTCCTTGGTGAATGATGCTGAGTGGAAATACAAAGCACTCCGTTGTGGAGAAAGGTACAGCCTGGCTACTACACCCACATTCGCCTCTCCCCAAGGTAGCACTACAACCCTTCCACAGAGAGCTAGGAAACTCCCTGTGCTCTCTGGAAAAGCTAAGAGAAAGGCCAGACCATCTTAAAAGTGCTCGCTCCAATGCTTACATCTTCTGAAAGACACTCTGATCCCAGAGTGAAAACAGCTACAGCTGAGATTAACCATGTATCAGAAATAAAGTCCTGTCCACCACCACAGCCAGAACAAGATGTCAGGGTGACAACCCCAAACAGACGCCCATGAAAACCAACCTGAAATGGACCTGTCCCAACTCCCGTCATTTAACCATTTCAGGCAACTCACTCTAGTAGAACATTCTGCTACAAATAACACAGCTTGCTTAACTAAAGCATCGTTTCCACTTTAGTTCACACATCAGACAGCACCTCAGTTACACTGAGCACACTGACACTGCTGCATCCCCTCCTACCTGAGGCCTGGCAGTTGCTCACCCAACAGACCAGCCACAACCACATCTCAGGCCTGCCACAGGGTCCCACCTCTTATCCTCCTGCCCTAGTAATAAAGACTGAGTAAATTTGACGACATCTTCACCATGCTCCAGCAATCATAGAACTGAGTATTTTACTTGATCAGACAAATTCTAAACTCTAGCAGCTCTGTCCACTGTCTCTGAGGGTTAATTAGGAAATTTTAGGTGATCTTTATGAATGTTACATTGCCAGGAAGAATGGTGAGACCTACAGAAGGTACCTTTACTTGTTTTTTAAAATGGACATGGAAATAGCAATAGGAGTGACTCAGATTCACTGTCTAGCTCACAGACCGAAGGGCCCCAGCACATACACCCAGACAGAAATACTACTTATGATGGCCCCAGGCCCTGGGCAGTCTTCACGACTCAGTACAAATTAAGACCAGAAGGCACACGAGGCATCGAAGGCCTGCTGAAAGTAGTGTGAGCTCAAGAGAAACCTCAAGGCAAGACTTACCACTCTGGGTTTCTGCTGGTCCAGGGTATGAAGAAAGGCTGCATTGGGGTCTAGCGTGCGCTCAGGGTCACTGGAGATATCCTCTTCTGAGTCTTCATAGGAAGAGGAGAAGCCCGTGGAGGAGGCAGAGGAGGAGGACAGCTTCCTCAGGGGTAGACTGCCCCGAGGGCTTCCGTGCACCTCCTCCAGGCCCCCATCCTCCTGGGCACCAGTGTCTGTAATGATGACTGCAGGTATGGCAGGTGTATTGCCAGGGCTGCAGGCCTCTCCCAAGGAAGGCTGGTCCTGGTCCAAGGGCAGCTGCTCGGGCCTGGGGTAGGCATCTCCATCCTGCAGCTGGCTTTCCCAAGTCCCCTTCTTTTGTACCCCTGTGCCTGGAGGCCAAGCCAGGCCACTTTCCTCCACGGGGGGTAGCCAAGGTCTGGAGCCCCCAGGCTGCACACCCACCCTGTCACCGGGAAGGTACTGGGGTTTATTCAGGTCTTTCCCCAGTTCCCAGTGGTGTAAAGGTTCCAACATTCTGTCAGAAGAAACACCCACCTCCACCTGCTTGGTCCCTGGCTGTGCTATGGGACTGCCCCCAAGCAAGCCCAGCGTAGGAGACCCTTCCCCCACTCCGTGGGGGAGCGGCTGGGCCTCACCACTCCTAGGGATCCCACTCCGGAACTCCCTAGCACCTAAGGAACACAGCTGTCCAGGCAGTGTGGAGCAGCTCCAGGCCTCGGATGGCTCTGAGCTCTGCGAATTCACATTCCGCTCCTCTGGCTTTCTGATGACTTCAGGCACCCTGAAGCAGGGGCTGCCACAGGGCAGGTCCCCTTTCCCCACTTTCCCAGGGGGCTCTCCATCGCACTGGCCAACCTGCTCTGGGGCTGGGCTTGTCTCACTGCCCAGAAGCTGCCCTTGCCGCTCCACCAGAGCCTCCCGAGGGTGTGAGGCCCCAAGCTCGCTGGCCCACGAAATGAGGGCAGTGTCATGTGGACAGTGATGTTCCATGGATGTGGCTGTCGCTGCCACTTTTGTGGCCATCACTAGGCTTGGTCCAACAGGCTCCGACATGGGAGTTCCACAGCTCCAAGTTTCTGAAAGAGAGCTGACTCTCTTATCAATTTCCACATCGAGGCCAGGTGAGGCACTACGGGGACTGGCAGGTGGCCTCGTCTCCCTCAACGAAGCCGCTGGATTGTGAGCATCTGGTCCAGTCAGAGTGGTCAGGCCCTGGAGGAGTGCCATTCCCTCCCTGTCCTTCGAGGGGCTCGGGCTGGAACCTCTTGTCTTCGTGGAGTCCACATCAGGAGTCTCTGGACACTGGTCCCCCCAGGACTTTGTCCTCCGTTCCTCGACGGGAGGACCCTGGGCCAGGCCCCTTTCCGGAGGCTGGCTGCTGCTGCGGAAAGGGCTTGGGGAGGGCGAGCGGGCCCGACCTAGGCGAGGGCTCCGGGGCGCCAGGGTGGCGGCACTCTGTGCCTGGATGTGTGCCTCGAACAGGCCCACTTTCTGGTTCACCTGCACGTTCTGCAACTCGCGCTGCAGCATCCGCAGCTTCCTCTGGGCCTCCTCCGGGCTGGGCGGGGAGAGCGCCCCGGCGGTCGACCCATGCAGCCGGTCCCCCCGCAGGCGCGCCGGGCTTCCCACGCCGCCGCCACTGCTCAGCCTGCGCGGGCCGCCGGAGCTGCGCGGTTCCTCGGCGGGGGGAAAGAGAAAGGAGGCCGCCGTCCCGGGACTAAAAACGCTGCCGGGGCTCGGGGCCGGGGGCGTTTCGCTGCCGCTGGGCCCCAGGCCGCCACTCTTCGCCTCGCTGGCGCTGTTCATGACCACTAGGCTGTTGAGCGCACAGCAGGTCACGGCCATAGCCCCGGGTCCGCCGTGCCGCCCGCCGCCGGCGCCCGCTCCCCGCGCGGC